GGTGTTGGTTGTGATGCTCTAGGATGATCCGTGATATGACATTTTGACTATGTATTGATTCATTGGTTTATGAATGCATTACTTTTCCCGTTATATGATTAGCATGTTTGTTATATTACGGTAAATATCCTTGAATCATTGCAGATGATTCTAAATTCCCTGGTCAGTTATCATTGTGGGAACAATGATGAATTAAGACCAGCATGATGTGTGATAGATGATTATGATCATATGCATTAGATGCAAATCACAATCATGGGTTCTCGTTTGGAACGAGTTACTGGATGACCCGCATGAGATTGTCACATGGACACGAGTCATGACTTGAATCTCATACAGCGGTTCGTTCTTAGATCCTCAGACCTGAGATGTCTAGAGTATCTGATATGAGGAGTGACGTGTCTTGACTGCTTCTTGAACCGATTCAAGACCTTGTCAATGTATGTACTCTGACTTAGACCAAGAAGCCTTCTCGATCTATCTCTATAGATCTTGATTCCTAGAATATAGGCGGCTTCTCCTAAGTCCTTCATCGAAAAGACTGATCCTAGCCAGGATTTTACTCCTTGCAAGGTAGGAATGTCATTTCCGATGAGCAATATATCATCCACATAAAGTACAAGGAAGACCACTGCGCTCCCACTGACCTTCTTGTAAACGCATGGCTCATCTTCGTTTTGCAGGAAGCCAAACGTTTTGACTGCCTCGTCAAATCGAAGATTCCAGCTCCTCGAAGCCTGCTTCAGTCCATAAATGGATCTCTGAAGTTTGCATACTTTCCGTGGACTCTTAGGATCGACAAAGCCCTCGGGTTGTGTCATGTACACATCCTCGAGCAAATTCCCGTTAAGGAATGCGGTCTTGACGTCCATCTGCCATATCTCGTAGTCATAATACGCAGCTATGGCCAGCAGAATCCGTATGGATTTAAGCATCACGACTGGTGAAAAGGTTTCTTCATAGTCTATACCATGAATCTGCCGAAACCCTTTCGCTACGAGTCGTGCCTTATAGGTATGCACGATGCCATCCATGTCGGTTTTCTTCTTGAAAACCCACTTGCATCCAATGGTTTTAATACCATTGAATGAATCGACCAAAGTCCACACTTTGTTGTCGTACATGGATTGCATCTCAGACTCCATGGCCTGGTGCCATTTCTCGGAATCGGAACTCGCCACAGCCTCTGAATACGACGTAGGCTCGTCATGTTCTAACAACATGAGTTCGTTGTTTCCAGTCACAAGAAAACCATATCTTGTAGGCTCTTGGTGAATTCTACCAGATCTCCGAGGTTCACTAGGAGGTGCTGTCTCAACAACTCGTGATACAGGTTGGACTGTTTCGACCTGTTCGTTCGGTTCTTCGACTATTTGTGGTTCTCGAACTTCTTCGAGATCTATTCTACTCCCACTGACTCTCTTGGAGACGAACTCTCTCTCCAAGAAAGATCCATTCCGAGCAACAAACACTTTGTTCTCAGATGGGTTGTAGAACCAGTACCCTTTAGTTTCCTTAGGGTAACCCACAAATATGCATTTATCAGACTTGGCGGATAGCTTATCAGAAGCCAGACGTTTCACGTAAACGTCACATCCTCAAATCTTCATGAATGCTAACCTGGGACGCTTCCCAGTCCATATCTCATATGGAGTCTTCTGAACCGACTTTGTTGGACAGTTGTTCAGTATAAGCGCTGTTGTTTCCAAAGCATATCCCCAGAAGGATTTAGGAAGATCGACCTGACTCATCATAGACCGTACCATATCTAATAGGGTCCGGTTCCTCCTCTCAGACACGCCATTCCACTGTGGCGTTTCAGGTGGAGTCAGCTGTGAGACAATCCCACAATCTGCCAGATAGTCAGTGAACTCTTGGCTCATATACTCGCCACCTCGATCAGATCGAAGCAACTTGATCGTCTTGCCAAGTTGGTTCTGTACCTCGTTTCTGAAAATCTTGAACAATTCAAGCGTTTCAGACTTATGTCTCATCAAGTAGACATAACCGTACCTACTGAAATCATCAGTAAACGTAACAAAGTACAGATAACCTCCTCTAGCGGGAGAGCTCATAGGACCGCATACATCACTATGTATGAGTTCTAGCAACTCTGTAGCCCGTTCTCCTTTTCCAGAAAAAGGAGATTTTGTCATCTTGCCCATCAAACAAGAATCGCACGATTCAATTGACTCATAATCAAAAGAATCAAGAAGTCCATCAGAATGAAGCTTCGCTATGCGTTTCTCGTTGATGTGGCCAAGTCGACAATGCCAGAGATAGGTC